CCGCAGTGACGGCCGGATCTAACGGCGCCACCGCGGAGCGCGCGCGGCCCGCCCGGCCCTGCCCGCGCGCCCACCGGCCCCGCGCAGGAGGCGGCGCCGCCGCCGCGGTGATGCGGCCGCGGTGAGCCCCGGGTGCCTCCGCCGCCCTCCCGCCGCATCGGGCAGCGCGGCTCCGCCGCCGCCCCGCGCCCGTTCGCGGATCCTGCCTGCGGCCGCCGCCATGCCGGGCCGCCGCTGAGGGAGGCGCCGACAGCAGCAGGGGCCCCGCGGCGGGGCGGGTATGGCCCGCAGGGACCTGCAGTAGCGCCGCTGCCGCCCGGGCCGAGCCGCCGCTCGGAGCGAGGCCTCCCCCGCGGGAGGCGGAGGAGGAGCCGGCGCGGCCCCCTCTGGCAGGGCCGCCGCGGCCTCCGCGCTGCCGCCGCCGCTGCCGCGCGGCTCCAGGTGGCCCCGGACCAAGGTGACACCCGGCCGGCCCCCGCCCCGGGGCCACCTGCCCCCGCGGCCCGCGCAGACCTTCTTCGCACCGCGCAGCCGGCGGCGAGCGAGCGGCGGCGATGAACCCGGTGAATGCCACTGCTCTCTACGTGTCCGCGAGCCGCCTGGTGCTCAACTACGACCCGGCGGACCCCCAGTCCTTTTCCGAGATTAACAAGCTCCTGCCCTACTTCAGGCAGTCCCTCTCCTGCTGCGTGTGCGGTGAGGATCTTTCTTTTGTTCCTGCACAATGAGCCTTCCCCGGGGCTCCCGCACGGCCCTGGGCCCGCACCGGGGCTGGCTCGGCCTCGCCTCTCCCGGCCCGGCCCGGGGCAGCTCCCAGCAAAGTTTGCCGGGCCCGGAGCCCCCGGTGGCGCGGCCGCCGAGGGGGCGGCTCGGCGCTCGGGAGCGGCGGAGTGGGAACAGCCCGGGCTAAACCCGCCCCCGGCGCGGGGCAGCCGCGGGCAGGGCCGGTCACAAGGGCAGGGAGGCGGCAGCGGCTGTGTCTCAACAGCCGCGCACGCTGCGAAGGCGGTGGTGGCATGGAGAGAGTGTTTGCCTCAAAATGCAGCGCTTTATTATGGTCACTGCTTCGTCAAGGGTACGGCAGTTGTCAGTGGTTATTGAAATACCCTGGTGTAGTGGAGTTAATCGCTTTAAAAAGGCGATGACTAAGAGCGAGTGTGGTAAAAGATACCCGAAACGATATACAGACCATAGAGGCAGGGGAAGAGGAACTTCGTAATTTTTACCCCCGCTCCTTGAAATGTAAACAATAAGTAATTCCTATTGAAAGCCAGGAATTTTGAGCTGACGGAAACAATAATTGATTTTTTTTTTTCTGTGCCTGGTAAATAATTGTTCTGTAACAATAATAACCATAAAAAGCAAACAGGCTGGAAGTCTGCTGGGCTTTCCCCACTCCCATCCCCCCAAAAAGAGCATTCTGTGTGCTGTGGGCAAAGGCAGTATCCGGAATTTCGTTGTTACAGTCTGGGGAATACTGGGAAGGAATTACATTCTGCTGTGTTTATGGAGTGGAGGCATGTGTCCGTTCCTGGGAGGAAGCTCTGGAATAAACTGTTAGGTTTCCTTGAACTTCCCTTCGGAGCCTTGGTCATTGACGGGAGGGGGCTCTGATCTGTTAGACCTCTTGGCTGTTAAATTTTTTAACTTCTCCTTTTTTCCCCCTGGTAGTTTTAAGTCCTGCCCTGTTTGTGTTTGTATTTTCCTGACAGAGTGGTTTTCTGCCCACTGTGTTTGTCGATGCCGATGTGTGTTACACTGAATTTGAGTTGAATCACTGGCGTTTAGAAAGTTAAATATTGTATTAATTTACAGGATCAGGATTTAACTGTCGAGACGGCTAAAGTAGCGTTAGATGCTTCCTATCCTCTCGCTATTGGCTCCTCCCACTTAAAGTCTTTGAAAATAGAGATCTGTTTGCACTGGGAAAGAGGGAGCCCGTTCCCAGGATCTCTGCATCGTCATTTCCTGAAGTAATTTGTCTTAAGGATTTTTCCTCATGGAATCCCGATGCTAGTGTTGATGCATCCCTGCTTTTTATTTCTTACTACCTTAGGCCCGATTGATTCCAACCCCAGCTGTGATTTCTTCCCATAAATTCTTCCTGCTTTTGGTCAGTCACCAGACTGCTTTTGCCAAAAAATACACGAATATTGTTCTGATTTTTTAAAATAAGATACTTGCATTGCTGTGCTCTCTGGCCTCTCCATTTTAAACCTGGTCTTCTGAAATATGTTCTTTGTTCTCCTTGCCTTGCCTTCTTCCCTTCTTGGCCTTTTGCAATCTTAGTTTTATACTCTGTGCTGTTGAAATTGTGTGTCTTTAATTTGTCCCTGCCCAAATTCCTGAGCTTTTTTCCCCCCTCTTCTTCAGCTTTCCTTGCTTGATTTTTCTGTCAATCAGTTTCATAGAGCAAACCACATTTTCAGTTTGTTTTCTTCTATATCCTTATGCCTCCATGGATATTCCTATTCAAAAACTACCTCTTGATGGTTCCACTTTCTCTCTTGACCCTTTATTTTCTTTGAATATTAGGGTTATTCCTTTGGTGTATATTTTTTTTCTACTGTGGCCAGTTTTCAGATAACTGTAGCTGCTGTTTATTTCAAATGTTCAGCTGATTAACCAGTCTTATCTGTGCCTCCTGGACTCCTGTTTATGGCATGTCAGTATTCAGAGGCCTCAGTAAATTCTCCACATGCAGTAAAACAGTTACTCAGGTGTCTGTCTGGAGCCTCAGGTGGTCATGGGGGAGTGGGGCTGCCCCACACAGAACTGCTCACTCTGGTGTTCCCAGTGTCACACATCTGCAGTTCAGACTGGTAAAGGCCAGTCCCATCATTTTCTCATTTGCTTTTTGTGTTCTTTTTCTCCTAGTGCTAAGAGCTGTTACATCTTTCACACCTTCTGAATATTTAAGGTCATTAAACCATGTACAATCATGAAAGCCTTTTTAGCTTTGGTGTTTTAAAAGATTAAGTACAGAATTAAAGGCTGTGTTGAGAGATCATGACAGTGAGCACTATGACCACCCAAAACTCTGCCAGAATCCCAGAATATTCTCAGTTGGAAGGGACCCACAAGGGCCATGGAATCCAGTGTTAGTGAATAACCCATACAGGGACTGAACCCAGAACCTTGGTGTTCTCCACACACTGCTCTGACCAGCTGAGCTAACTATACTGTGTGGCTTTGGGTTGGGTTCTTTGTTTTAATACTTGAAAGCTTTTCCCAAGCTCACTTCTTGCTTCCCTGTTTGTGTGTTTAGACCATGAGACCCAAACACCTGGCTCTGGGTCCTTGCACATCGAACTTGGAGTGTCTGGTACTTTCCTTGCACATATCTTTGTGAAGTGCTGAGTGCAAAGGCTTAAAAACTCTGCTTTTTTTTGAGAAATGTTGCAGGAAGTATCAGTAGTGGTTAAAGTCTCAAGTGCTGGACTTCTAGGAATTCCCTTGGGAAGTTGCTCCACAAATTAGTGCTCCTTATGTCATCAGCTTTTTCTCAGTGTGTAATCTCTCTCGAGTGTATTCTGTAATGCTTTGTTATGCTGCAGATATTAATTCCATAGTCAAGATTGTGCCTTTAGTTTTAGAGAATTGTTTTTAGGAGAAATGAGTGCCAGCTACATAAATCAGCTAACATTCCTGGGCTTCCACTGTGCTCCCAAAGCACGAGGCATAAGCCAGCTCATTTCCTTGTGATCCCATAGTCTTGTACACCAGCTCACATAGCAGGGGGTGGCAGAAGTTTTTGGACCCACATAGTTATGAAGTTCTAATTAAAGCTCTGATTTGAGATTCAGATTGGCACACATGGAGTTGCAGCAGTAGAAAGCCAAAATGTAAATACAGTATGTCAGTGTAAGTCAGCTGAATCAGTTCTGGGTGGATTCAAGGTCTCCCTCTTGCCTCATGATGGGTGATAAGGGTTCAGTTCTGTAGCTGGAACAACCGTGTGTGTATTTCTAGGATTTAAGTGTGATCATGTGACAATTTCCTGGACAGTGCTGTAGGTAATACATCATCCTTTTATAGGGATGTATAGGACAATATTTCCTAGAGCTTTTAAATCTTGAAAATAACTGCTCCCAAGTGTGCATTAGGCAGAAGGGCTGTGCCTTGTGTGTTTCGAGGATGTGAAATTCAAGTTTCAGCCCCTGAAATAAAGAGATTATTATAAAATTGCACGCTAATGCCACATTTAGTTTAAAAATAGCATAGTAGAATTTATGCAATAAACTTCTATGTTTTAAAGGTGCTGTCTATTGGGATAAACATCTTAGCAGTGCCGTTCTCTGGTTCAGATACCATGCAGGTAACTGCGAATCATTGGTCTTTTCAGCATTAACAGCCTTCTCTGCAATTCAGTTGAGATGCTTGTAAGAGATACGATTACCAGTCAGATCAGTTTAGCTTTTTATCCATAGAAAACTTCATCGTGGAATCTCTGAAAGATACTTCAAAGGCATGTGAAAGATTGTTATTGCTGATTGAGAGAGTTCTTGGAAGCTGGCAGGGCTGCAGGACAATGTTTTATGCTTGGCTGGGAACCCAGCTGGTGCTGGAAAATACAGGATGAGAATACAGTTCTTGTCTTAAACATCCTGTAATCCCAGTAAGGGGATGTGAGACAACATGTGGCTTTAGGGAGATTACAGGGTGGGGGGAGGAACAAAGAAACCCATGGCAGCACTGACTGGTCCCTCACAGAGCCCCATCCGGTGTTCACAGGCAGCTCTCCATAATTTTAGCCAAGGCTAAAAGGCTCAGTGGTGCAGTAGCATTGTGGAAGCAACTCCCAGGCATGGGCAATGGCATGGATTGCCAAATAAATTAAAAAAAAACTGTTGACTTTTGTTTTTCTATATAAAGATTAGTGTAAGGATGTTATTTCCCTCCTGCTCCTGTGTAGAAGCACTAGCCTGTTTTAAGAGTTTTATACTGCCAAAGTAAGTCGAATGGAGTTTATAATATAATTACATATTATAATCAATTATACTTAGCACTAGATCTGAAATGTCTACATAGTTGGTGGCATACAGTTCTCCACTTTGTGCCACTCTGTCCATGTGAAGGCTTCTCCTCTTCCTCACCTCTCTCTGAGCTAATTCTCCTTTGCTTCTGCAGTCCCTGTGTCCCCCAGTGCCCTTTCCTGGTCGGCTGCTCTTGGGGTGTGGTTCCAGGTCCCAGTGCTGTGGGCTGCACTCTGCCACTGGGAAATGGTGTGAACTGGGCCTGGACAGTTGGACTGAGCTTCCCTCAGAGAAGGGGAGATACTTTAGTGACACTTAACAGATGGAAACTTCCAGGAAAATTCAGTTTCCTGTCACAGACATGGAATAAGGGAGAAGAAACAAATTCCCATTATAATAAAAGTTATATGGATGATCCTGGAGTTTCCGTTTGGGATGTGAGCCATGGCTGAGTTGAACTTGGATAACAGAGTTCTACAGCGAAAAAAGTAAGTTTTTAAAGTTTTGTGATGGAAAAGTTTAGCTTAGATCTTCTTCCTTGTCCATTTTCCCTAGGTTGAGGAGAATGAAGGCTGATTTATGATCTCTGCTGTCATATCAGAGTTGCCTTTTGTGTTTGAAAATTGGTCTGGTGCTGTGAGGTTTTTTAGGTATTTTCTCCATAGACATTTTCTTCTTTCCTCTTTCCAGTTATGAGAAATGCTGTAAATAAAACTACTGATAGTTTTTAAAAGTACATGATTTTCCCCTTAAAAATGTCATGAATGGTTGCCAAAACACTTCTGAATTTGTGAAGAATGTGAAAAATCATCTCTGAAACAACCATCAGGGAGCATGGACTAGGGGATTAAGTACCTGTCAAATACCTTCTGCTGCAGGTATTCTGTGTGTGCTTAGTCTAGGGAGCAGTTGTCTATGAAATGTCCAGTCTCACATCTCTGTATGCACCAGTTTTTACTCGAGAACATGTTGGGTGATTTCCTCTTAAAATCTCCCTACTCAACTTCGTTTCCCTTTCCTGTTTTCAAACCCTGTGTGTGGCTCCTGGGAGAACTGCTTTGTCAAGGTTGTCTGCATTGTACTGCAGAAGTTTTGATAACAGAAAGTTCTGCCAGTAGAATTCAAATGGGTTTCTAAACTAAAAATACTCCTCTGCCTTAGAAGAAAACTGAGTAGGAAGAGAAGTAGCTGTGGTCCCCTCGGTGGCAGCTGGTTGGCAGTGGCTTCCAGAGAAGGTTACAGTGCTGGGATAGGAGAGGAGTGTTCCTGCTTGAGGAGCTGGGAGTGATGGATGGGCTTGGTGGTGCCTGAGGATATTGATTAAACCGACTGTGTTCCCGAGTGTTTAAAGAGGAGTTAATGTGTTGCCAGGAGGCATCTTTATTGGGATGGCTGTGCTGTGCTGGTCCCTGGGCACGGAGCACTCGTGCACACCTTCCTCTGCCTTTGTTTTCTTTGCTACCTGACGTGATTTACACGTCTAAATAGGGACTGAGCGTTCCTGGATATTGTGTTGGAGTGGTTTGCAAGCTCACAAACCATTCCCTGCGGCTGGGCAGTGACTGAGAAGTGGCGGCACAGCCACTCCTGAGCACGGGGCTGTGCAGGGAGCGCAGATTTCCCTGCGTTCCCGGAGGAATGACCCCGAGTCCCCCAGTGACAGAATTTGTTATTCCGTGTCTCCAGAGCCCCGCAGTCACAGCCCGGGGCTGGCTGCTCTCACTCTGTGGCCTTGGAGAGCACACTTGACTCGGAGATTCTGATGTTCAAGCGTTTTTGTTTGGTGTGGAAAAATGGTTTTCATTACTTTTTGTTTGCTCGGGGAATGTGATGAACTTGATCTATAACTTCCAAAGCAAGTTCTAAGTCTTGAGAGTGTTTCTGCGGCTTAGAAACATGTTATTATTTTATACCCATAGGAGAAATGTTAACTTTGCTATTTGAAACTTCTCAAAATACAGCAATCTTGACTTTTGGAAAACATCATTATGTGAAAATTTCACACTGCATGGCGAAAAAGATGAATTTATCCATCTTCCTAAAGGCTCAAAATTTGAATTTTACCACCTAATAACAAATCTACTTTGTTAAAAATACATTTAGAATTTTTCCTGACAGGGATTTTGTAAGCACAAGGACTTTCAAACAGAACTATAACTCTGACATAGGACTTAGTAAAAATGTTCTGTTGTTTCTTTTGAGGGGGGTGGACTCAAGGAACAAGGCAGTCCCTTCTGCACTTAAAATACAAGTTGTTGTAGTTTCTTTGCTTGAACTTTAGCTAAAGAGGTTGACTGTATTTCTCCAGATATGAAGAAAAATAGTCTAACTGTCTTCTGATCATGGTTAAATTGGGTTCCCATGGTGTTCAGGCAAAAACAGTGCAGTTTTTATTTTTTCAGAGTTATACAAACATTAATTCATTAGTCACAACTGTCCCTATGAGGGTAATAATGTCTTTAGCATTTTTTTCATAGTTGTGTGTTCATGGGAGATGTACAGAAATACTAAATTGCCAGCAGAATGTTATTCTCTGATAAAATTTTGAAATAAGTATTTTTAGTTGATTTGAGGGTTTTTTAGTGCTTTTTTTTTGTATCCCCCACACTTCCATTTCACCCAGCAGAGAATTTATAACTGTTTGTGGATGTCTTAGTCAAATTCTCGCGGTGTGGTTGGGGTGATCTAAGGGCAGGGTGGTGTTTGCAGGAAGAAATAATTTCTTGTAGTTCACTGGGAAACTCTCATTGTTTCTCAGAGTTCTGTGCTGCGAATCTTGGGGAACATTTTTTGTTCCTACTTTTTGGCTGAATTGAACAATTTCTCTGTAGAGAACCTTGTGTCAAAGCCCATGAAAGGATCACACATCTGTAGTGTTGTTGTGAACTGCCCTGAGCTCCACGCCGTGTTCTCTAGCCGTGGGCTCAGAGCTTTGCCCCTGGAATATTGCAAAGATGTGTTTGTGTCTCAGCTCAGAGTGCAGCCACTGCACACGTGGCTGTGTTTTGGGAACGTGCTTTGGGAATGCCGTGCGGTGGGTGGGGTACCTGGGTGACAGGGGATCTGCAGATTTCACTGACAGGAGCTGCCCAACATGTTCCTGCCTGGGACAGCTGCTAGGGCAGGGGTAGGACAGACATCGGTCTGGGGAATCTGGCTGAATCTGGCTCCTGACTTTGGTGCAGTTTTGGTGAAATCCATCAAATCCATCATGGTCCAGCCCACCCCGAGTGTAGGTCTGGAAGTGGGAGGTGTTAGGGCTTGGGATCTGTGAGACCTTTCCCTGCTGTGGTGTCCATGACAGCTGGCCCTTGCACTAACCTCTCTGAGTCTGAATGCGTTCAGTTTTCTTGTTCTTTAGGAAGTACCCAATTCTCCCACCCCTCTAAAACAGATCCCACACATTTGTTGTATTCCTCTGCAGATGGCTGACAGACCTTTTTGCTGCTCATCATATGCCTGCCTGTCTGTCGTCAGATAGTTTTGCAAATAGTGCTTTTAGGGGTTTATCCAACTCGGGAAATGCTGCTTTTGTGAGGGTATTTTCTGTTGTTTTGCCTTAAAGCTTTGTTGAGCTGCTGCTCATTCTTCAGTGGTTTCCAGCTGATCATTTCTTGGGTGAGAAGATGCTGTGTGGAGTGGCAGGGAGCAGTTCGGGGAAGGTGGTGGGGGAGAGCAGGGCTTTTCCTTCCCGCAGCCCTGGAGCTGCAGGTAGAGCAGTGGCTGAGCACAAACCCCAGTACAGAGGTGTCACAGCAGGTGAGAACCAGCTCCTGTCCTTCAGGAGCTCCTGAGCTCTGAAGCTTGGACGTGGCAAGCTGTTGGAGCTTTCTGACTGTTGCTAATTATTTTAGTAGAAACAGTCAGATGTTTAATCCCGAAATGAAAAGGCTGACAGTGTAGCAATGCAGCTGTCAAAGCTCCAGCTGTGGATGTGACTTTGGGGTCCTTGGCATCTAGAAGTCTGTGTGTGCCTCAGATGGGTAGAGCTTCCCGTTCCTCAGAGCTTGGTAGAGGCTCAGCATTTCTGTTTCTGTAACCGTGGTTTAAAAATAACCTCGTGCTCAGGATGCTGTTTGATGGGCACAGATTGGTGGGTGAGGTTCCCTGGCTGCCCTCTCCTCCTGTGTCCCATGGATGCCACGGTGCCATTGTGGCTGGGCTGGCCAGCCCTCGGTGCTGGCTGAGCTCTTCTGATGATCCCAGTGCAGCCAACATCTTCTGCCTGGCAAACAGTGGCAATGAACCCCAGGGGATACATTTGTATTTGTAAAAAAAATTGACTTAGTTTTTTCTATCTTACTTAATGAAATTAAGATTTAATAATGAAATTATTCTTAAGACTGGGTTCTTGGAAAAGCCAAAATAATTTTCAATGATGAATGTTCCAGTAGCATTTCCAAGGACCCTAAATTAGATATTTGTGTTTAGCTCTTTCCTTTGCTGAGGATAGGTGACAATGGCTGCAAGTACCTGTTCAAGCCTTTCTTCCCAGAGTATTTGCTAAGTACAGACACCTAACACTTGTTTTGATTTCCAGTTCTCCTCCCTTTGGTCTCAGAGACACAATTGGCAGATGCTTCCCCTGTCCCTGCAGCTGTGAAATAATGCCCGTTAAGGACCACAGCAGGAAGTATTCTATGTGGTTTAAGTGACCTCCCTCCTGCTCCCAGGACAGCCTTTCTAGATCAGCCAGGATGTTTGGTAAATAACATATGAAAAGTTTTTCCTCTGTATATGCTCCATATTAATTCTAAGTGCTGATATTAATGTATGTATTTAGTCATAAATACAGCCTTTCTGAAATCAAAATAGTTAAGAGCTGAAGTGGAAGGAATGCCTCGTATTGGAGGCTTTGTAAGAACGTGATTTTGCTTTTGATGTATTGATAAACCCCTTACAAAAGAGGGTGAGAAAAGACAGAGCAGGGTTCAGTAACACCAGGCTACACAGGGCTATAAAACTCTGCAATGGGTAATTGTGGAAGGGTCTAATGCAGGTGAATGGCTGCACAATAAAATGAAAATATACATTTAGCTTAGACAAACACTAAATTACAAGCATGGAAAAATATTAACTTCAGGGCCCATCATTTTTATATCTTGGAGATCTAGATAAAGTTTTAAATTTCTAGAGAGGGGCAGCACTGATGGCCACCAGGCAAAAGTGACATCTTGGCCTTGCAAAACCTTGAGGTTCCAAAGCAGCTCAGGTGCTGTTTGTAGAGCAGTGCTGATGACTTAGTGCCCCTCCCTCAGTATTACAGGTAATGAAACTTAATTTTATGGGAAATTAGCATCTCATGTTTGACTTTTTTTTTTAAACTTGGCAGTATGAAGACTGATGAGAGTTACAGTGCCACAGAATCCATACAAGAGAGAAACTTTGAAGAATGAATATTCAATGAGATATAAGTTGAAATGGAAAATATTCCCACAGCTCAGGAATTCCTAACGTCTCTCCAGTGTAGGTTGCCTGGCATTTTCTTGGAGTAGAACTTGCTCTGTTCTTCCTGTCAGTGAGAGCAAGTGAAGTGTTTTGTCTTGTCAGTCCGTCTGGTTTTTCCCTCAAAGCCTCCAGAAATTTAAATTTTCCTGTATCTTCTTTTAGCATTTGTACTTACTCAGGAGTTCCAGCCAAATTTATTTTGGGAGAAATAAAATGCACTGTTGGTGATGCCTTTTTTAAAATCTAATTAAAAGTTAAGATGGTATCTTGTTTATTTGGTGCCATCTCTGAAATGTTTTAGTTCTGTAAAGCATCATAACTCTGCTTTATTATCCTAAGGAGCCAGGAGAGGCTGCTGGTGGATGAGGAGTGCACCCAGCTGCTTTCTGTCATTAATTAATTGGGAATTGATTAATGCTGGTGGCTTTTAGCCCTAGGAGCACTGTAGTCCTAAGGCTCTGAAGTGTCAGCACTGGGCAGGGCATGGCTCCTGCTGGTCCTGTTGGACTCAAGATCCAGGGGGTGTTGGACCTTTTTTGTTGAACTCTCTGCTGAAGGACAGGACTTCTTCGAGGAGCTGGTGGGATTTAAACTATTGAGTTTTTTCCTCTTCAGGGAACTTTTCTCCTAAAGTCAAGTCCCATCTTAGGACCACAATGGCCACCTCTGCCTGTGTTGTTGTTTATATTGTGTCATTTCAAGAGAACTTGGGAAAAAAAAACGGTAATTTTTCCCCTGCACGTTGGACTGTGGAACTTCATATTCCATCTGTTGGCTTTAAACCTTCTTGGCTTGATGTGATGAGTGGTTTCTGACTTCTGGTTGGGTCTTGTCACACTGTTACAGCAGGGCTCATTCTGTGCCACAGCTTGCTGAACAACTGTATTTCTCTCCGTTTATTAAAAATTACCATGTGATGGCAACCCAAGCACTGACTCTTGTGATTTGTTGCTCAAAACCCAGTTTACATCAAGCCACCCCCACTGAATGATGGCTCAGGGTGCAGGGCTTGGAGCAGCTCTTCCCCAGAGAGGGATCAGGGAAGTGAGCAATGAGAGAAAATATCTTTGATATTTTTGGGTTTTGATGCCAGCCTGATGTGATATATGCACTTTGCTTCCTCTTTCCAAGTTGTTTAATTTTATTTCCTTGTTGCAGCAGATTGTTTTCACTTTGGAAAATCTGGGTGGGAATTCCCTGATGGCTGTAACTCATCCAGCAGAGGCTCCTTATGGGAGAAGGGTCTGATCAAAGCTGGGAATGTGCTGTTGGGAGGGGAGGGAGGCCTGTTGCTGGGGATGACTACGGATACTCTGCAATTTAATTTAGGAGATGGAATATCTTTCTGGCCTAGAGCTTCCTGGAAATAGCAAAGCAATACTGTCACTTTCTGGATATAGGAACTAGTTGGATTGTTTCTGTACAAAATTCAGTTCCACTTGTTCTTTCATATTTTATCCGTAGGTAATATTTGAGTCGATCTTGAGGAAAACCAAAACAGTTCTTCCAAGTTTTTACAATTTTGGGGATCTGCAGACAAAACCTTCCATATTGTCATTGCTGGGGGTCGGAAACTTTCTGGGCTGTTGGGCTGTGTGGATTCCTTTAGTAGCTGATTTTTATTAGTTTTTATTCTAAACAGTAAAATATTGAAAAAAATTCTTTATTCTGATGGCTTCACTAAATGCTAAATGAAGAATAACACAAAGTGTGCCGTGTCTTCCCTTTAGGGGTGGATATATCATCATTTTTACATTCCTTTTGGGGTTTTCCCTGTGCTCTCTTCCCATTTGTTTTTACCAATTCCATTAAAATCTTTGCAGTAAGTTGTCACAGAAGTTTATTATTTCACTTTTGGTAAATTCGTAGAAATCTTGAGTGTTCTGTAAGTTTCCATAGACAAAGCTGAAGGGTAGAAAGCAATCAGTAGTATTGTAGTTGAGAATGTTTCTAAAGGCTGCAGCACACAAGTTATGGTGTGATGGTTTTCTTCTAATTTTATCTAATGTTTTAAAACCAGGTTGGCAGCTGTGAGAATTTGTTTAGGCAGTTGTTTGGATGGAATGTTTTTTTGTGAATAACTGAACTTTTTGAGTAACTTTTTTTGATAGTACAAAAAGAAACTCATCCACCGGTGTCCCGGAAACCTGCCATGATAATCTTCCTCTTTGTTTTCCCATAGGAAATTTGCTACAAGACCCTATTGCTCCTACCAACTCCAATTGTCAGCATTATGTCTGCAAAACGTGTAAAGGCAAGAAGATGATGATGAAGCCCTCGTGTAGCTGGTGCAAGGACTACGAGCAGTTTGAGGAGAACAAGCAGCTGAGCATCCTGGTGAACTGCTACAAGAAGCTGTGCGAGTACATCACGCAGACGCCGCTGGCCCGGGACATCATCCAGGCCGTGGATTGCTCTGCAGACCTGCTAGCTCTGCTCAAGGATGGGGCACCGCTCCACGAGGAGACGGAGAAACCCTCGGATGCAGCCTTGGCTCTGTGTCTGACGCATTCCCCAGTCCCTTCCACCTCGGAGCTGGCGACGGACACGCCGGGGGGGTTCACGGCGCTGCCCGAGAGCACCCCCAACCTGGACCTGCGGGGCTCCGTCATCAACGGGCTGCCCCCCTGCAACGGGCTGTCGGTGGAGAAGCTGGGCGTGAGCATCCCCTCTCCCGAGCACGCCAGCGCCATCGATGTGTGCAGCACCGGGGAGTACATCAAGACGGAGGACATCCCCGGCAGCTTGCAGCCCGTTTGTGACACGGTGGCCACCAGCGACCTGTGCCCCGCGGGCATTGACATCTGCGGCTTCAGCGAGGACATCAAGCCGGGCGGGTCGCTGCTGCTCAGTGTCGAGGAGGTGCTGCGCAGCCTGGAGACCGTGTCCAGCAGCGAGGTGTGCGACTCCAACCTGCAGCCCGGCTTGGAGGCAAACATGGCCAACGGCCCCTTCCTGCAGCTCTCCCCCCCTCCCCTCAGCCATAACATTTTCATGTCCACAGATGCTTCTCCTCACGGGCTCTCCTGCACGGCAGCCACGCCCAAGGTGGCAAAGCTGAACAGGAAGCGCTCTCGCTCGGAAAGCGACAGTGAGAAGGTTCAGCCTCTGCCCATCTCCAGCATCATCTGCGGCCCAACACTGGGAGCCTCGGCTCCCGTGACAGTCAAACAGGAAAATAAAATGTCTTTGCAGCCTATTGCGACTGTACCTAATGGAGGAACTACTCCCAAAATCAGTAAAACTGTGCTTCTGTCTAACAAAAGCATGAAAAAGAACTTAGAACATGCCCCTAAGAAATCCCACCCGAAAGCCAAACCAGGGGTGCTGAAAACAAAAGACAAGGCAAAGGAGAAAGTTCCCAGCAGTAACGTTATGCCAGGAAGCCCAACAAAAACTGTGTATAAAAAGCCACAAGAAAAGAAAGGGTGTAAATGTGGTCGTGCCACCCAAAATCCAAGTGTTCTTACATGCCGTGGCCAACGCTGCCCTTGCTACTCTAACCGCAAAGCCTGCCTTGACTGCATATGCCGTGGCTGCCAAAACTCCTACATGGCTAACGGGGAGAAGAAGCTGGAGGCCTTTGCAGTGCCAGAAAAGGCCTTGGAGCAGACTCGGCTTACTTTGGGCATTAATGTGACAAGCATTGCCGTGCGCAATGCCAGCACAAGCACCAGTGTAATCAATGTGACAGGGTCACCAGTAACGACGTTTTTAGCTGCCAGTACACACGATGAGAAAAGTTTGGATGAAGCTATAGACATGAGATATGACTGTTAAACCTTTCTTTCTTTTCCCTGCCATCCGTAGGGGAACTGCTACAGGTTCAAGGCAGCTATGGTTCTGTTTAACTTGCTGGAGCTCCTGCGTTTAGATCACTTGTATCAAGTGTTTTTCATTGCTATGTTCTGTGTATTAGTGTCTGGGAAATAGTTGCAGATAATGGAGGAGTTACCCTAAAACTGTTTTTAGTTCTTACAGCACCTCATAGTTTGAGATCGATTGCTGATGTAAATGATTTTATCACAAGATCTTTTGACAAGGAATATATTGACCTCATTGTACTTGCTCGTGCTTTGTGCTCGGTCAAAGCTTCAGCTTCAGCGTAGCATCCAGATAGTGCATCTCAACTGTGCTAGATGATGGTGTAAAAAAATAATTATTGGATGGGTTACAGTCATCATGAGCAGGAAATGACCTGACATTCCTGTGGGAAAGGCAGCACTGAGCTGGGGGATACACTCCGGAAAGGGTAGGTAGTGGTGATTGTGAGAATTGGTTGTGCCCTCTACTGAACAGCATACAGTTAAAAAAAGATTAATAAATATACTGAGCAAGCTGGCAGGCCAAAAAGCATCTCAGGCTGCAGGCAAGGCTCAGGAGGGTCGGGTGGATACAAAGGTCGAGCTCCAGCTTGGACACCCCGTCCTGGTAATGACATTATCCTTGGGGTTTGTCTTCCTGACACTTCACAGGTCACATTCCTGCTCAGTTGCCCTTCCATGCCAGCCCCCTGTGTGTGACAAGTCACTAAGGGGCTGGGCTGGGGGAGAACACCACTGGTACCCTACAAAGGCTCGAGTTCTGTCAGCACCATCCTCTCCCTGTCCCGAGTTCCTGCTGTTTTACTGCTGTTGCTTCTGGGGAAGAGAAGGGGTTTTGTGGGTTACAGGGAGTCCTTGGCTGATTTACCTCCTCTGGTGCTGATCAGTGCCAGGGCCATGGGGAGATTCCACAGCACTTATCAGCACTGGGAGGGTTGTTTGATCAGGTTTGTAACAGAGCCGGGACCCCTCCCAGGGAGGGGAGTTTCCCACTGACAGGCACCTCCCAGCCAGGGCACGGGATCCAGGGCTATCAAAGGTCAAATTTTTGGGGTGTTTGCTAAGCAGAATAAGCTATATATAACTCACTCCACCCTGAACCTATCTCATTTTTTGCTGAAATGTTGAAAGCAGCTTTTGAAGGTCATTGCTTTTCAACCTGGGCCAAAAGGCTCGAAAATAGAAAAATAACAGAAAGTTGTCGAGCTTATCTGGAAAAGTGTTACAATGAAAGAATTCCTCTTGGGAATTCAGCTTTGTGCAAAAATGGTTAATTTCAGCACAATCCCTAAAGAAGAGTGCAGGCACAAGATTTAGTTGTGCCTTCAGGGCTTCATTGGAAGCCTAAAAAGTTGAGATCGCTTTGTGAAACCAGAAATCCTCCTCTTGGAATGATAGAGCACAACCCGAACATGGGCTGACTCTAACACAAACATTACTGACTGATTTTAAAGGCCATTCCTGTTTCAGCAGCATGTTAAATAGTGTGTGGATTTTTTAAGTTCCTTTCCTGCTTCCATCTTCCCTTTTCCTCAGGCAGAGCCCCTGCGGTGCTTTCCGGCCCGGCGCTGGGTGTGCTTTGATTTGGCACAAAGCACGTACAATGATGGTTCCTCACCGAGAAATGAGCAAAACCCTTTGGACACAAATGGCACCTCCTTTTGTTTTGTAGTGTACCATGGTGTCATTTTCTGTGAATGTGGTCAGAGCTTTTTGTTGGTTTTGGTTTGTTTCTCCCCCCGTCTTTTTTGTGGGGTGGGCAGGGTGGGGGGTTAAAGCCATAGGAAGAAAAATGTGATGTACGTGTCCAGTCTGTACTTTTTTGTTTTTGTTTTGCAAGAAGAGTTGAAAAATATTTTTGATAATGAGTAAATGGTGGAAAATGCTTCTTAGTATTCTTGTCTTTATTTGCCAACCCAAGTACCTAAGATCTGTGTTTTTTAGCCCTCATGAGATTTAACGATGTCCTATTAAAATGTATTTAGTTAAACTTGTATGTGATTTTTGTGTTGACCCAGAGGGATCCTACCAGTCTCTAATTTGGTGGTTTGATCGTGACCTACTAATGTAAATCTGTTTATTAGTCCACTACGTGTAAGCGAAGTAGCGACCCGGAGTCTGGGAGTGGCTGCACAGCACGGGTTGTGTCGGAATGCTTTTGCAGAGCTGTTCAGTTTTGCCGAGATTGTTGATGGTACATTTTTAGGACTTTCATTAAATTAAATACAAAGTATACCTTTGCTCCAGAAATGTGGGAGTATCTGGAATCTTTACTATCTCACTGCTGCATTCAATGTGGTACCAAAAGTTGGAGAACTTAGGTCAAGAGTGTTTCGGAGCGTCGACAGGAGAGCCCTGATGGTTAATGTAAAACTGCAAATGGTAGATTCAGGTTGTTTCTAAAAACATTTCCTTTTATGCTGCCACATTCTTGAAATGTATATTAAAATTCAAATTGATTTAATAAATGTTAGTTTTCTAATTCTATTTTGCAATTGCTGAAGGCATCAGTGTGGCATATGTTGAACTCGCTGTCTAAATACTACTTAGTGTGTTGATGATTAATTCTCTAATTGTTTAAATTAGGGTTGGCTTGGTTTGGTTTCCTTGCCCTCCTGGCTAGTTGTTTGTGAGCTGAGCAATGGAAAGGATCGTCTTGGTGCTGACAGGAATTCCAGCAGTTCCAGTTGGGAAAGCATTCCTTCCACAGCAGCTTCCTGGTGTGGGGCATTCCCGCCTTGGCTTGGGCAGAGAGCAGGGTGAGAACTGGTCCAGTGCAGCCCAGGAGGGCCCTGTCCCTGCTGCCCATCCTGAGGAGCTGCAGAGTCACTGGTGGGGTGCAGCTCAGTGATGGTTTGAGCTCCAGCCTGGCCTCAGCTGGGCTGCCTGGAATTCCTGGTGTTCCTCCTGCAGGGCTCTGGATCTGGGGAGCTGTTCTCAGCATTAGCACAGAGGAGCTGCTTGAGGATTTCTTATAGAGGACGTGTGTGATACTCCCAGTTTTTTTCCCAATCCCCTTGAAGGCAGGGATTAACTGCCAAACTCTATTAAAACCCTGTAATTTGTAGAGCAGAGTCAAAAAGAAAAAGCAGCAGTTTACGGTCACGTGTAGTGGTACAAAATCCAGTGCTCTGAGCATCCAGCTCTGAACATAGTTCTGAACAAGGAGAACCCTCTGCTATTCCATGTGGAGTGGAAAGGCTCTGCCCAGGTATCGCATATTAGGACACGTTCAAAACGTTCAAACACAAGTCAATGTGGCCACTGGTGACAGGCTTAGAGGGCAGGGTGGAGCTCTCTCAAAGGTTGGATTTGGTGATCATGGGGGTCTTTTCTAACCTTAATGATTTATGATAAACCAGGGGTTGGAATTAAATCCCAGAGGAGGGGGGACAGGGAGACAAAACAATGAACCCCTGGCTGTGTTACCTTGTGGCTCTCGCAGCAGGAGCTGTTCTCGCTCCCTGGCTCGTCTGACCACGGTGCAGAGCCAGGGGCACCAGGGCACAGCAGCCTCTCCCTGCAGATGTTCTTCCCTTGCATGGGAGCTGAACGCATTCCCAGGAACGGAGGTGGCAGGGAAGAGCTGCTCCTGCACCGAGGCTCTCCTTGGTGCCTTCAGCACAGCCCGGGGCTGCCCTTGCTAGCCCCAGCATTCGGTGGTGTCAGAAGAACCTGCAGAGTTAGAGGGAAATAAACCCGAAAAGCCTGTTTGCCAAGGCAGGTACTTCTGGCACAGCAGGGAGCTGCTCCCTCACTGAAACTCCGGGAGTTTCAAGGAACAGATCCCACAGCTGTGGCACAGGGATGGTGCAGAGGTTCTGGCGTGACCCACCACAGAAGCATCTTTTTACTGCATGCAAGAAGCACCCCGTCCCCAAATAATTCTTATTTAAATTCTGTATAAATCAGTTAGAAAAGAATTTTTGATTGCTAAATTGGAGAGCTAAAAGGATACAAACAAATACCTTTGTAAGGATCATGCCAAGTGTGTGGCACAGCTGAGGAAATCTCCTCTGAAAGGTAAGGGATGCTGTTTCCAGTACTACCAAGAACATCACAGGCAGATCTTTGGTCTTAACTATTTAAATTTAGAAATTGAAGTGCTTTTGATACCGTAAAGAAACTCACCAAAAGGTGACTGTTCTATAGGCAGATTTCAGCACCCCTTGGTGAAGCAATACAAGAGCACACTGACTCTGCTTGAGTATTTGCATGTAGGTAAATTAGAAAAGGCATTACTGGTTTTCCCTCTCTTTTTCATCTTTTTTTTTTTCCTCTCCTTGTTCATTCCACTTGCAAAAGATCCAGGAGACATCTCTTTCTTTTTTTTCAGGACAGGTTAAAATGAGGGAGCTGGGTGTTTTGGCAAGTCATCAAAGGGACAGTGCTCCACATTGAGGACAAGGATGTGAAGAAGGTAAGTGGTCAAATTGCTTTATCCCAGTATTTTTGAGAAGAACGCCTGGAATTTTGGCTTTGGAAGGCATTTGCTTGAGGTACCTGAGTGGCATGAACTCACCACAGCAGAGAAGGAGAGTTTGGCAAAGCAGCTGGAGATGAAGGGAGTAGTAACACTACCCCACCACTGAGACAGGTTTTCCTTTTTAAATTCAAAAGTCCTTTATTTGCCAAAAAAGAAGAAAATATAAAGTAAAAATACAAAGATCAAACCATGCCACCACAAAATGTCTCCAAAACTACTTTTACAAAGTCTGAGAACCTTTATTATTATTATTATTAAATATTCAGTTTCTAAGCCCCTCACCCAGCGATACAGTGAGAAGATGAGCACACAAGGGGAAGCTCTGTTTCTGTTTTTCTTACAGTAGCTCGTGCTCTTCACTGAGGTTCAGTTTTGTTTGCATAGACCTAAGATACTGATCTAGAGCCTCCAAATCCATACTGTTACAATGATAGTTCAGTGAATTAGCATTGGTCTTTCAGGACTATTTTGTTTCAGAAACTAAGCCCAGTACCTTGGTTAGAGTGTTTTGAGTCAGCTTCATTAAATCCTTGGTTCAGGAGAGCAGGAAGGCTTTGGAATCCCTTTTTTGCTGTCCATGTCTGTTCTGCAGCACTTGCCCCTCAGAGGCAGGAGGGGAGCTGGAGCAGTGCCCAGGGTTCACTGCCAAAAACTGGGATGCAGCAAGTACTACTGAGATTTTAGAAGAAAGAAATTAAAAAATCCAACTAGTACCATTCCAGCAGTAATACTGAGCTATACCTTCCATCTTAGTACTGCAGAGAGAAAATACTTGTGACACAACAGTAAAAAGCAAGGGGTTTGTAACAACCCAAGGCTTCATTTTGCTAGACAAAAGCAGACTAGAGAGAACAAATAAGCACAATCATGTTTTTATCATGCAAAACTGATTTTTACTCACTTTTCTGA